GGAACCAAGGTTTTAGCCGTACAAAAGGAACAATTGCAGGGATGCGTGCTGTGCTGGGCATGAACTGGGAGTCAATTCTGAAGTCAGAGGACCCAGCCCACACCCTGCCCATCCCTTCCTGGGAGAGGACTTGGGGTGCAGAGGGGGAGCTGGTAGAGGGTTTGCACGGGTTAGTAAATTTAATTTTTTCAAGAGGCTGGGTGAGAAGTTAGTGTCCCTGGGTTGAAAGTGAACAATAGGGCCGACAGCTGGAGAATGCACAGCGAAATGAATCCTCAACTCCAACTCTTCACAGAGGCCTGCCACAGAGAAGAGCTCTGACGAAGGAGTGACTGTGAGGACACAGTGGAGGCTGACTCCCGCCCGTGCATCACTGCAGCCACGGTAAGATGTCTCTGACCTTCTCTTCCCCATGGGTTAGGAACCTCTCCCCAGAGCTCCCATAACACCCTCCTTTCCCAGGCTGCAAAGATATCCACATCCTCACTCCCAAGACCTGTGAATACATTAGGTTACATGAGTTACCCTGCAATGGAAAATGAAGGTTGCAGATGGAATCAAGGTTGCCAAGCTGTTGACCTTAAAATAGGGAGAATAGCCTAGATTATACAAGTAGCCCAGTGGGATCACTTTAAGGGCCCTTCAAGGTAGAAGAAGAATCCAGAAGGGAGAACCAGAGAGATGGAAGCTTGAGAAGGATGAAGACCAACGTTGCCGGCTTTGGAGGTGGAAGAAGGAAACTATAAGCCAAGATATGCAAGTGGCCTCCTGATACTGGAAAAGACAAGGAAACAAATTCTTCCCAGTGCTGCCAGGACTAACACACTTTGCTAACACCTTGATTTCAGTCAGTGAGATCCATTCTAGACTTCTGACCTCCAGAACTGTAAGATAGTAAATTTGTACGATGTAAACCACGAAAGTTTGGGGTAATTTGTTACAGCAGCAATAAGAAACTAATACACTATCATTATGCTTATCCTAATATAATGCAATTTTTATTTATATGTCTATCGCCCCCATCAATAATAATAATAATAGCTAACATTTGTTGAATGTACCCTTACTGTGAGCACTTACTATTTGGTAAGGCCAGCACCAAGCATTTCATTCACATAAGATACTTAAAAAAAAAACCAGGTAATTTCAATTGAACACACGATGAAGGTAAAGACAGGGGTCTAAAAGTAGGGGAGGGAGTTAAATGCATCTTCGAGGAGATAAAGACACAGGTGCTTTTTAAAGATGAGTAGCAATTAGTCTAGGAGAAAGGAAGAGCATCCCCGGCAGGGAGAAGAACGTCAGCAGACACTCAAGCACTCTGGCAGCTTCACAGCAGGCTGGTAATAATGTTTCTAGCCTGTAAGTCTCCTCAGAGATCCAGGCCTCCTGCCTGCCTGAAATCTCCACAGGATGCCTCCTAGACATCTCAAATTTAGGATGGCTGATATAGAACTTGATTTTCTCCATGAGCATACTCCTCCTAGTCTTCCTGTCTCCCACAACACCACCATACACCCAGCCGCTCAAGCCAAAACCCCAGGAGTCACCCTTGAGTCCTTCCCCTTGCCTCATTCCAATGTAATCTATCACCAGATCTCATCAATGCTATCTCCAAGATCTAAGTAGCCTCTGCCCACTTCTTTCTACCTCCATTGCTGCTGTCTAGTTCTAAGCCACCATCCTCTTTCCTCCTAAGTGGTCTTCCTGCTTCTACACCTAGCCCCCTATGATCCATCCACTCTTCACAAAAGCAGTCAAAGCTATCTCAAAAATGTCAATCAGGCTGGCCGTGGTCACTCACCTGAGGTCAGAAGTTCCAGACCATCCTGATGCACATGGCAAAACTCCATCTCTACTAAAAATACAAACATTAGCCAGATGTGGTGGTGCATGCCTATCATCCTAGCTACTCAGGAGGCTGAGGCAGGAGAATCACTTGAACCCAGTAAGGCAGAGGTTGCAGTGAGCTGAGATCGTGCCACTGCACTCCAGACTGGGCAACACAGCTAGACTCTGTCTCCAAAAAAAAAAAAAAAGGCAATCGGATCTCACTGCTGAGCTTAAACTCACCAAAGCTTCTCTTTGTACTGGGTAGAGGGACTCTCCCCAGCATGGCTTAGAATCAATCGGCTGTGTGATCTCGCCCCTGCCTCCCTCTCAAACTTCACTTTGTGCCCATTCCCCCCATCTCTCCCTTACACTCTAGCCCTGCCTTCCCTTACTCCTTGGAATACACCAAGCTCTTTTGTGCATAGTCAACTTTGTACATTCCCATCCCTCTGCCTGGAATGCCCTCCCCCACAATCTCTCTGCCTGGCCAGTTCCTTCTCCATTTTCCAATCTCAGAAAGGCTTTCCCTTGCACAACTAGGACCAACTTTGTGCCACCAGCCCCTACTTTGGTTCCAGGTTTGTTTCCTTGATAACAAGGAATCATTCATTTGCTAGAGGTTGTTTATTCTGCTTCTTGCTTGTTGCCCATCTCCTCCAGCGGAATGCAAGCTCCAGAAGGGTGGTGACAGGCCTTTTTTGTCCACCACTGTATCATCAGGACTCCACACAGGACTTAGCATGGCACAGGTGCTCAATACGTGGTTGTTCAATTGATGAATTAAAAGAGAAAGTGTGAGGCTGACATTGAAAGATAAGGCTGGAAACAGAAGGCCTTGAGAACAGGGTCCTATTCATCTTTCCACGACTGGCACCTCCCACAGGGAAGCCACTTAGCAAATGTTTCACTGGATGCATGAAATAAAAATTCAATTCCAGATAAATCTGAGATGTGCTGTCCTTTCTGGGCAAGGCTCCCCAAGAAGTTTCCGCTCCTCCTTAGGCTTCTTAGGAGGTACACATCTAGGGCATACAGCAAGTGCTTAATAAATAGGGTGACTGCTACTATTGCTCATATGGGGATCACTCATGCAGCCTCCTAGAAAAGACCTTCCGGAGTCCACGCCAGATGCAGCAGTGGCTGGGTGAAGAAATGGGAGGGGAAAATGAGAACAGAGCAGCAGGATCCAAATACGACTGAGACCTAGGTGGGGAAAGGGCAGGAACAACACTGTCCTGGCTAACTGGGGTTCCCTTCTTTCCTCTAGACTTCAGCCACCTAGGTGCAGCGTGGAGATGCCAGCTGGGACGTGAGTCCTCACAATGGAGGGCTCAATCTGAATGCACACATTCATCTTTGGGCCTGCCAGGCTTGCACTGATTTTGAAAATCTGGCTCGCTGTGGCTGGTGAGGACTGGGGAAGTGTAGAGAATTTCAATTTCCCTCACCAAATGGCAAGCTTGCGAAAAGTCCTTTCTCTCCAACATTATCACATACTAAAAATGAAAAACCAGCCATTCAGAGCTCTCATGAGAAAAATAGATGGGCTGCTTAGCTCACAAGAAACAGGAGGGCTGAAAATCAAGTCTAGAGAACATCATAGGGTACATTATGTGCTAAGATACTGCCCTTTTTTGGACCTGGGAGTTTCTATTTTTCACAAAAGAATGGGATAGGGAAAGTAATTCCCCATATAATAAGCCACTCATTTTATACTTCAAATCCATTTGGTAGCTGAATCTCCAAATCCATTTAGTGGCTCAACAGTAGGGGTTAGGTGATTTTTTTTTTTAGCTCCCTATCTCAAAATATGCAGTTTGAGGCAAATAGCATATCTCAAAAAAATAGCAGCATCACCACGATAGAAGAGAAGGCACTAAAGTGGTGAAGGTTATGACGCTAAGAAGACATGTTTCCAAATCTGTTTCATGGCTAACAGATCAAAATCTAACACAGAAGGGGCATGGGACTGAGCCTGAAGAAGTGGAAACTACTCCTGGCCACGTGACCTTGGGTAAGTCAGGTCACCTTTCTGGGCCTTCTCAGGAAAGGGGCTGAAATCAGTTGTTCTCCAAGATCTTTTTCTTTCGAAACCTCTGACTGGTTGTTTCCAGAAGACCCGCATTTTCTTAAAGCTGTCTGGTGGCGCTACAATTGCAAAACAGAAAGGCTTTGGGGTGAAGGTTGCAATAGGGATAACCCAGGACTAAAAATCGAACAGCTTTTACAATCCCAAAACATTACTCAGCAATCCAGGGCCTGATGTCATCCCAGAATCAATCACGCCAAGATAATCTAACAGAGTAGACAGGGGAACATGCGAGAGAAAGTTCTTTTTCTTGCCTGATGAGTACAGGTAAAGTTAAGGTCAAGTTAAGGATGACGGTCTGCAGTTGACCATCTGTCTCCCTGAGCTACTGGAAAACCACATTACTAAAGGAAACTGCTTTACAAGTGCCCAACATGAACCCTTGGGATGTATCAAACCGCAGAAAACCGGACGCGGGCAAGTTTCTTTTTTCTTTGAAACTTCATGTCGCTCTCAGAAAATGCAGCAGGTCCCAAAATGGTACAAGCGGAAAACGCAAGCCACTTCAGGTCCGCCCGGGAGCAAACACCGAGCTCCAAGTAGGACTCCCCCTACCCCTTTCCTTTCGCTTCGTTTCTCTTCTTTTGCTTTAGGCAAGTGGCCTGGGGCCTGCCAAGCAGCGCCGGGTTCGGGCAGGGGCCGGCGACCGCGGGGAACTTTCCTCTGCCGCGCCAGAGACAATGCCGGGAGGGCTCCCCATCCGCGGGGTTCGGGCCGCCAAGCGCGTCGTCCCGGGCCCTCCCCCGGAGCCGGACGCGAAGCCCCCCCAAGGCGGGCCCCATCCCCGGCCCCACTGCGGGGGCCCCCTCTCCAGAGCTGGAGGCGCGGAGACCCCCCCGCCCCACCAGGCGGCCTCGTCCGGCCCCGCAGAGCCTGGCCGCGCGTCCCGCACACGCCCCAGCCCAGGGCCGGCGCCCTCCCCGCGGAGAAGGACACCCCGCTGCGAGAGGAGCCGGGAGCCCGCCCGGCGCCCCGTCCCCGTACCCCTCTTCGCGCGAGGTACTGGGCAGGGGGCGCCCGCGACTGTGGACTACTCCGCCCGGCCCCACCGAGCTCGTCCGAGCGCCCCGCAACTCACCGGGACCTGGCGGGCCGCTGGGCATTATTCCATCGCGGGCTCGGCCAGGCGCTCGCGGCTCTCGGGTGGGAAAGCGAACTGCGACCGGGAAGCGCCGGCGGGGCGGGAGGCGCGGGCCCGGGGCTGCCCAGCGCAGAGTGCTTGCCCGCGGCGGCGGCCAGGCCAGGCGAGGCGCGGGAGCCGAGCGCGGCGCAGGAAGGGGCGGGCGACCATGTGCCGAGGGGGAGGAGGCCGCGGCGACGCGAGCGGCTCGCACAATCCCGCTCGGCGGCGGAGGGCGCGGGTTTCAGGAAATCCAAACACTTCGACAGGAAATCGGAATCCTGACTAAGCATTCCCAGCCCCGAGCCGCTCCGCGCCGGGGGCTCCCGCCTCGCTTAACCCTTGGCCCGCCGGCAGCCACGCGGGGGACGCGAGCGGGGCCCCAGACCTCGGCCCGGGTCGGGCGTCCTTCGCTTTCCGCCCCATGCCCTGGCCGGCCGGCCTCCTCCCTGCCAGAGGTGGAAGGGGTGGGATTTATCCACAGAAAACCCTGGACGCGGAAGGTGCCTTTCTAAGGCCGGGACAGCGGCAAAGGACGTGCCTGTCTTCCATCTGCAGAGGATGGACCTGCACTGTCCTGGCCGTTACCCCTATTTTCAGTAAAGGAGTGACTTCACCAGGCTGCCCCCTTTCACCCCTTCCTCTCTGCTCTTATAATTTCCTCATTTTGCCCAGTGCCAGGGGAACAGGACCTTCCCAGTCAGGATACTATAGGAACAGTATGGAGAGTAATGTGGGCTGCAGGCTCTGTGTCCCATTGGAATATGGCCTTTTTTTCTACTCATGTTACCTTGAGTAACCCAACTTTCCTGAGCCTCAGTTTGCTTAAATATGAAATGGACGTTAATTCCACCCTCATAGGTTTGATCTGGAAACCGATGTTTAGACAGGGACTGGCACATTGGAAACTCCCAAATAAATGATAGCCATGCTTGTCCTTAATTATTGCCATTAAAAGACATCAGAGAAAGGAGGATTTTAATTTGTGGGATGTATATTGTGCATATCTATGTCTACTTTCAAAGTCAGAGACGTAGTCTTTCTTTAGAACTTCATTTCCCTCCTAATCGTTGGGCGATTGTTTTTCTTCGCAGCATTTCAGAAACTGCTCTCTGCAGAGGATATGGTTCGTGGCTGTGGCAGACCCCCTTCTGTTGAAATCTGAAACGGAAAACCTCACGAAATTTGGGATTTTGCTCTTAATCTGAGTGTCCGGGTATGGTGGGGAGGTTGTTAAACAGTCTGGGGCGGCTTTACAAAGTTTGGGAAAACCAAAATCAATCTCTGACTGGGCAGAGAGGCCGGACAGCCAAAGAGTGATTCATTGTGGTTTCCCACGGAAATGCCACATTTCGGGGGTGTCTACCTGGAGGATGCAGCTTGGTGGTTTTGCTGTGTTTCAGATTCCTTTGAAACCCAATCAGACTTTGAAGAGGGAACATGCTCGTGAGCGAAAACAGAAGCCTGAAATGAACCTGCTGGGAACTGAAAGTTGGGTACCAGCTCGTTTACTCCAAGTAAGGAACAGATACCAGTTTTAGACCCAGCATTGTTCCTTTTCTGCAATTCTCTCTCCGTGGCCAGCAGCAGTAGGACGAGCTCTGAGGTGGGCACCAGGAGTCCCAAGGTCCTGCTCCAGGCCCTTTGCAGCTGCCGTCCGCTCTGCCTGGTAGAACCCTTGTATGACTGTTCTTGGCACACAGCTCACAGCCCAGAAGTCAGCTCCACAGAGAGGCTTTCCCCAACCATGTGATCTACTTGTCTCTGGCACCTACACCCCACCTCCACCTCTCCCAAATATAGCGCATCCTGTTTGATTGCTTCATAGCCCTTGTCACTGTTTAATGTAGCCTACGTGATTGGTTGCTTATTTTTTATCTGCCCCCCACTCTCCCCACTGCATGGGTAAACTGCATTACAGCAGTACCTTGGCCTGTTTCCTTAGAACAGTGCTGGCCCATATGAGACCATCAATAAACACGTGTTGAATAAATGAAAGAAGCAAACACACTAGAGTTGTAGATGGGACCCCCGCCTGAGGTAGGGTGGTTCACTCCATCCAGCAGCTCCTTGTAGCTTCTTCTTTGGTGGAGAGATTCAAAAGGGAATGCCCAGTGCAGTGGAAGAAGCACCAGATGGCTCTATGAGTGCTTCTGGAAAGTTAAAACTATAAGTAGGCCAGGCGTGGTGGCTCACTACTGTAATTCCAGCACTTTGGGAGGCCGAGGCGGGTGGATCATGTAAGGTCAGGAGTTTGAGACCAGTCTGGCCGATATGGTGAAACCCCCTCTCTACTAAAAATACAGACAATTTGCCGGGCGTGGTGGTGGGCGCCTGTAATCCCAGTTTCTTGGGAGGCTGAGGCAGGAGAATCGCTTGAACCCTGGAGGTGGAGGTTGCAGTGAGCCGAGATCACTCCATTGTATTCCAGGCAGGACGACAAAGTGAGACTCAGTCTCAAAAAAAAAAAAAAAAAAAAAAACCCAAACAAAAAACTGTAAGTAATTAAGACTGTCAGATGAGATAACTATAGTCTCATTGGTACAGTCCCAGTTAATTACTCCCTTCTTTGTGCTTCCTTGGCATTTCTGTTTAAAGAATATATTTATCACGTTGTGTACTCACTACTAGATGACTGCTCTCCTAAATCAGATGGGGGAAAGGGAGTCCACACTTGTTGACCACTTGCTCTGAGTGGGTCTCTGAGCAAGGTGAACTTGAATTCATTTTAAGGCATCGGTTAAGTGCCTATAATGTGCTAAAAAAAAAATCTGGGCCCTACATCTGCAATGATGAAAAAGAACTACTCTTGCTAAGAAAGACAAGAAAGCTCTATCTAGTAAGCAGAGAGATAAGTACTCTTATAAAGTCATGTCCAGGGTGTCCAGGGATATTCAGAGCATTGAAGGTGGAGTAGGGTGGAGATAAGTTGGAAAATGCTTCCAAGAAGTGGGTACTCTTGAACTAACTTTCTAGGAAGAGACAGGACCTATGTAGCTAGATAAGGGGGCACAGACCCGCCAAGCAGAGTAACAAGCGCAAGTGTTAGTGATGCTCGGCTCCATGTTCCCTGGGCCCACCTCTGAGCGCTCACCGGCAGCTGCAATGAGCTGCCCTCTGTACAGAGGAACTGTCTATCCAAAGCAGGCACCCCTCCTCTCTGCCAGGAGGCTTTCTCTAGGGCTGTGGGATCTTGCCTAGCCTGAAAGTTTTCAACAGCCCTGGGGCAGTCCTTAACCAAACAGTGGATGAATGTGTCAGCCTCCCCTTCCCTAAGGAAGAACAATTCTCAAATGCTTTCAAGGCAGTTCCTCAGAGGAACCCCCAGTAGGAATGAATCCAGTAGCCCCCAGAAGTCACTCCCTCATTAAGTCATTCTTTGATTTGCCTCTTGTCCCTTCCTTGCCTTACTTTCTCACTTCCTTATTTGTTCTTGGGATCCCAAATAAAGTAACTGCACCCATCTCCTTGTCTCGAGGTATACTTCTGGGGAAACCCAATCCAGAGCAGCGTTCGTGCATATATTCACAGATACTGGCTGGGCACCCCCAGGTGCCTGAGCAAAGACTGAGTGTGAACACATGATATATGTGGGTAACTCCACGAGGTTCAACATGATCTGAGAACATGATGCATGTTCAGACATGGAAAACAATGAGACTAAAAAGCCTTACACCATCTTACAGTTGAGGAAACTGAGGCACAGGAGTGTTGAGTAACTTGCCCAAGGTCAAACACTAGTGAGTAGAGGAGTATATTAGTCCGTTTCCGGGCTGCTGATAAAGACATACCTGAGACTGGGAAATTTACAAAAGAGACTTTTAATTAGACTTACAGTTCCACACAGCTGGGGAAGCCTCACAATCATGGCAGAAGATAAGAGGGAGCAAGTCAGGTCTTACATGGATGGCAGCAGGCAAAGAAAGAGAGAGTTTGTGTGGGGGAACTCTTTTTGAAACCATCAGATCTCATGAGATTTATTCATTATAGAGTTATAGAACAGCACAGGAAAGACTTGCCCCCATGATTCAATTACCTCCCAATGGGTCCTTCCCACAACATGTGGGAATTCAAGATGATATTCGGGTGGGGACACAGCCAAACCACATCAAGGAGCATTGGAGTCCAGGCTCTTCACCACCTTGCACTGCCTTTCTTGGTAGTTCAAGCTGTCGGGAGTATGAATAATGAGAAGAAGAGAACCAAAAGGAAAACCAGGGGGCATGGGAAGAAATTGCTTTTAGAAGGAGGGAATGAGCAACACTCACAAATGTTACAGGAAATTTCATCAAGAAAGGACCGGAAAGCAAGTGTTCATTTGATATGACAATGAGAGGGCTGATAACTTTTACCAGAGCTGTCTTGATGGAGTGGAGGGATTGGAAGCCAGATTGCGGTGGGTTGAGGAGTGAGTGGGAGACAGCAAGTGTGGACAACTCTTTTCAGAAATGTAGCCGTCTAGCAAGTGGGAGGTAAGGGTGGAGGCTTCTTTAAAGATGTGTGGGCAGGCAAGCATCTGGGTTGGTAGGAGAGATTGAGAGGAAGGGATGGTTCATTGATGGAACAGGTACTGAGGATGAGAGGAGATGGGAACTAGAGTGGGTTAGGGGCACAAGCCCTGGACTGGAAGAGGCCACCTTGTCTGCTGAAGGAGAGGGCTGAAGGGCAAGGTGCAGAACTCTAAATTTCCACCATGAACATCCTGGAGTCACAGACTAGGAGCTAGGTAGGCTCTTGAGTTTAGACCCCTGAGTTTAATTCTTTATGAAAATTATGCTCCGGGCTAGGTGAGGTGGCTCATGCCTGTAATCCCAACACTTTGGGAGACCCAAAGCAGGGGGATCATTTGAGCCCTGGAGTTTGAGACCAGCCTGGGCAAAATGGCAAAACCCCGTCTCTACAAAAAAATTTTAAAATTAGCCAGAGATGGTGGTACGTGCTTCTAGTTCCAGCTACTTGGGAAGCTGAGGTGGGAGGATCGCTTAAGCCTGGAGGTCAAGGCCTACGGTGAGCCATGATTGCATCAGTGCACTCCAGCCTTAGCAACAGAACGAGGCCCTATCTCAAAAGAAAAAAAAAAATGATCAAACGTAGATGAATAAAAAGTGACTTCAGCCTAATGACTGGAAAAGAGATAACATGAGAAGCTATTTTGGCCCAAGTAAGTTAGTGAAGTAGGAAGGCAAGGATGAGCAGGAGAGACTTGGGAGATTCAGCGAACACAGCTTGTTGGCTGGTGGTGGGGCACACGCAAGGAGGGGACAATGGTGCTCACCTGTAAGGAGGAGGAGGGTGGTGTTTTTAACCATGACAAAGAGTGAGGGATGGGAAGGTTTTGAGGAGGAAGATAATGAGTTCCTGTTTGTGCTTTCTGCAGAGAAGGGAATAGGTGGTGGGTAAGAATGTGAGGCTTTGCTAGGCTGGGGTGGGGGCTAGGCTAGGGTGGGGGTGGGCAGGAGGGAGGCAGAGGGACCTGCTCAGTTGGTGAGTGGGGGAGTTAGCATCTGAAAAGATAGCACCCTTCACTAGTTTCTCACAGTCTTGCGTCATCTGGATTTTTCTAGTGCACGGTTTCTCGTTCTTGGCAATATTAACATGTTGGACCGGATGATTCCTTGTTGTAGCCGGCTTCTGGCACTTTGTAAGATCTTCAGCAGCAGCCTCTCCTTGGGGAGGTTCGGCTTCTGCCCACTGGATGCCAGCGGCAACCCTCCAGTTGGGAAAACCAAACACATCTCCAGGTATTGCAAAATGTTCCCTGGAAAGCAAAATTGCCCCCAGTTGAGACCTCTGTTCTCTCGGCTTTTCCTTACATCACTTGAATATTGTTGATTAAAAGGTGAGCCGTTTGATAACCTTTTTTTAGCAGAAGCACTTGTGTCCAGTTTGAAATCCTGGCTCCACCACTTCTCTGGTTCATAACTTTGAGTGACGTTCTTGCCTTCTCTTGGTTTCTTTCTTTCTTTCATTCTTTTTTTTTTTTTAATCTGTAAAATGGAGTTTTTGAGAGGATTGAATGAAGTAATTCATGCAAAGCATTGGGCTCAGTACAGGGTGCCTGGTCAGTGTTCAATCATTGCTGGCTATCATTATTAGTATTTTAGTGGTATTTAGGCACTGGTGATATATCCAGACCACATTTGGAAATTTGGACCTGGAGATACAGACCTCACACATGTATCAGAGACAAGAGGGCACACTTGAGGCTGTGGATATCTATACATGGTCTGGAGAGAAAGTAGACAGGAAGAAGAAGAGAGGTTTGAGCAAGAACCCCAGGGAACACCTAAATTTACCAATCAGATGGAGGAAGAGGGGTCCGTAATTGAGATTTGGGTGGTCAGCCATGTAGATGGGGAACTCGGTGTAACTTTTCATCTAACCAACATTAAGTGGCAGCCCTGACCTTT